GGAAGGAAGGAAGGAAGGAAGGAAGGAAGGAAGGAAGGAAGGAAGGAAGGAAGGAAGGAAGGAAGGAATTGCTTCTTCTCATTTGGATTTCCTACGGTTCTAGTACTATTAATGGACACAAATACTTCTCCCCAATAAATAATTGGAAAAGAAAAACAAACTAGGATTTTCGCCAAGTTCAGATTTTGTTTGATCCTCTCAAGATTTTGATACTTGAGAGAATTGAAAAAAGCCACAGGTCAGAACCCACCCTAACGATGTGAACAAAGTTTGCTCTTTCCAACACCCCTTTGGAGTGTGGCGAGCGCAGTGGAATCAGCCACACCAGCCTTGAGCAGGGCGGTTTAGACCTGACAAAAAAAATGTTAACACACCATGAACACACCTTCTCGATGGAGGGAGAGGCAGGAGAGGCATTCCTTCCCTTCGAGAAGGAAGACAAACACCCTCCCAAACATTCGTGGCAGAACGCTCCGCAGCTCTGTTGACTTTAGTTATTTGCTCTGTGCCACTTTAGTCCTTTAGGGGTTTTTTTGTTTGTTTGTTTTTTGGTTTTTTTTTTTGAGAAAGTAGGAGAAAAGGTTTTCCTCGACGTGGCCAAGCCAGCCCGGCTCAGTGCATGAACGGGGCACAGACGGCGAGGGCACACGGCCAGGGCCAGCCGGGCAGAGGCAGCGAGGAGCGCACCGAGCCCCGACCGAGGGCGCTCCGGGGCGGCGGCGCATCCCAGAAAATCAGCCCAAAAAACACTTGTTCCTCTACGCACTTATTTACTTTATTTTCAGGGAACCACGGGTATGAGAGAGCGGTGTGAGGACAGATTCCTTTCTTTTGGATCCCAGTGCGGGGGTCACCCCGGCTGTCGCTCCGGGTGTCGCAGGGGAGGAGGCGCACGGTGCAAGGGCTGGTGCCTGCCCAGCTCGCTGCCCGAGCTGCCAGCACATCACCCCGCTGCAGGACATCAGTTTTGTGAGAGATCTGCCCCCGTCCCGACCCCTTCCCCCTCCATCCTCCCTTCCCACGCACACGCAGCCCAGACGAGCGCACCGCCACGCCACCAGCCAGCCCGGAGCCCAACTTCGTTTCAAACAACAACAAAGCCACCAAAATGGTTTTGTTTGGAGGAAAGTTTATAAGAAACCCGGCTTGCCAGATGCACGGTTACTGGTCAGTTCCATCTGTTAGCTTCGTTTACAGACCCTAAAAAAAATCATATAGACCGTTTGCGCTTTTAACTCCCCCCCAATCCAATTAATAATGCGAGTCAAACTGCAAAGCACTTATTAATTGCTCCCAAAGAAAAATCTTTCAGGAAAGTTAATTGGGATCTCTCTAGTTTTCCAACCAGCGCTATGAGCAGACCAGACAGACTTTGCCTTGAGTTTCATTGTGGCTGAACACGTTGTTTATCCCTTGCTTAAAGTTTACTTCTGTTCCTGAGCTACAGATTTTTAATTTTTTTTTTTCCCCCTGGAAAAAAAATCGGACTGGGCTGGGAAGGGTGAGGATTTTGGGGAAAAACCGCCAAACCCACAAGAAAATTAAAAGTTCTTCTCTGGGATCATCTCACTTGCCCTGATTCATTGAAGTGTGCAAAGTGTCTGGTGCTGCTGCAGGGACACAGTCTGGGCTCGACGTCTGGCTGCTGCATGAGAGCAGCTCCGAGACTCACAGAGCTCTCTCGCCTCCTGTTTGTCTTACAAACGTTTCCCAGCATTTAGGAGCCTGAAATCACAATTTTCCCTTTAATTGCTGCATCCAGGCTTAGCTCCTGCATTTTGCTTTCACCCAGTGATGATGCAATTTTTTCTTAATTAAGACCTTTCTCTTCCACTGAAAGCCACCAAAATTTGGTCTTGGCTGGACCTAAACTTCTGATTACTTTTGCTGAAGTTTCTTATGTCTGAATGAAACCAGAGAGTAGCCCAAGCCATCACAGACAGCTGGAGCCAGCAGTGCTAGGGTGTTCATCAGCCAGAAAGGGTTTTTTGCTTTCCATCCCCTTTGTTCTCTGAAGTTCCTAAAATTTGAGGGCTTGGAGCTTGGGCAATACTCAGCTGACCCAAAAGAATGGCAGCCCTGGGGTCACTTTTGTTCATGCCTGGGTCCTGACCATTGTTTGCAGACCTATTGCGGTTGACCCTGGATTGTCTCAGTTGATCAGAGCATGGTGCTGATAACAGCACCAAGGTTGTGAGTTTGATCCCTGTATGGGCCATTCTTTGTCTTATTTTTTTTCCTCTCCATTGAACTCCTTCCTCTTGTCTGGCAGAGGGGCTGAACCTGATCATGGCCCCCTGATCAGCTGTGCTGAGCATCACCATCCCATCTCCCTTCTCTGAACTTCACAGGAACTTCTGCAGGTGGGAAGGAGGGAGCTGGTAACCCCCCCATATACACCCACAGATTACCCACCTGCTTTTCCAAACAAACCTGTTTGTGTGAGAGAGACGTGTTATTTTCCCAGTTTCCCTTTAAGAATCGTTATTTTGAGGACCCAAGTTACATTATATTACTTTTCCTCTGCTAAGGAGAATGATTTCATATTTGAGTTCATAGAGTGTAGCTGAAGGCAATGGAAATGGAAAGTTCTGAAGCAGATTTTTCAAACCTCAAGACAAGACATGTCCTGCAAAAGACTGTTCCATGCTCTCTGGACACAGCTTCCAAACCCGGCACCATGTTTTCTCCTCCTCT